GGGGGGGGATCAGACCAAGCTATCAGTCCTTCACTTAACTCTCTTGAGGTTCCAACTCCGAGATCTTCACGGCTCCTCCTGAAGCGCGCTGAGTGACATGATGACGACAAACGACGCTGACATTTTTTTAACATTGCTGCCCTGTCAAGCGGGAAGCCCCCAGCTGTGCTGTAACCTTAAATGTGCTGCTGTGGTAGCAATTGGTACAATCGTGCTGATGGGGTTGACACCAAGGCAAACTTGCATTCTCATCTTCATTTCAGCAAAGCATGGATTTTTTTCCTTTCCTCGCCTGCATATGTCGGCGTTCTACCTACCTTGGTTTTCCAACGAACCTTCCAATTATAGGTAGCTCAAAGCACACGTTGGGAGTCCATCTCCATGCGCTTCTAGATTGCCTACGAGCGGAAAGCCTTCAGGAGAATGTCCCATCATGAGTATAGCCATCATGTTCCCCGGCCCGGGGAGGCTATGCTATGACTGCAGCACAGTCTCCTGGCCGGCCGCCGATTGGCTAGGTCCAGAGGCTGGGGTAGGTTGTGACATGACCATCGCCCCCATGTGTTACCACCACCGGTAGATGCTATGCAATGATGCGGGTGATAATTGGGACAAAAGTGGATGACTCTGCCCTGCTTAGATTAAAGGTAGAATGTAAGGCTTTTCCACGATAACAGAACCTTACAAGTATGGTTCTGCGTTATACGAAGAAACCGTGTCTCCTCAATTGAATTGGCGGTTCTCTAACATGAACGTTAATTGTAATATGATGGTTTCTATATTATCACCCATTTCTTTCCAAAAACCGCCTGTTCAACGCCCATACGGACCGGCGGGTGACGCCATGACATCCCGCCAGTGTAATGTTTTCCCAAACAAGAAGACACCGAGCCTCTGTCCCTTTGTTCACCTATCCCTATACCAATGACTTCTTCCCAAATCAGTGAATCATGCTGCCCCTCACTACATTTGCATCTGATGATTGGTACCCATCCTCCCCATAGCCAACGGCGTCCTGTCCCTTGGATTCTCAATATGATACGCATAGGTTTCCAGCCCAGAACCCATCATGTCCACAAACTCAAAGATATGAGTGCCCCTAAACGTCTCGGCCCATAACCTGACTACGGCCGCCGCGAGCTGGCGAAGGTTGGTGGGGTCGGTAGCTGGCCCGTCGGTCGACCTCTGCTGGTGGTTATGATTTTGTTGTGCCCCTCCGCCGATAGCCGGGTCAATGGGAACGGCGAACTCGGTCTCGTCTAACATGCGGCGGAGGCCCTCGAGGAGCTGGCTTTCTTCGGATGTTATCGGCGGGTCGGTTGGGCCGATGGACGCGAGGGTCAAGAGCCATTTGGATACTAGGACGGCGCATTCATTGTTGCTCACTACCAGAAGAGGCTCGGTTAGCTTGGGATCAATAAATGTTCCAGGGACGGAAGATCAAGAGTTAAGACAAGAATCGTACTGGAATGTTGCACGCCCCATTCAGGCGACTTGGTCCTCGCCACGTAGTTGACGCCCATCTTGACCAGCGGGCTAAGTGCCTGAATAGCTTGATATACTGCACGATTGAGTAGCATACCACGCAAAAGCAGAGGTGCCTCCGCATAGGCCCGCCCAGCGGCGTTGTAAGCACGCGATTCGAGATGGCGACTCGAATTCAAGTCCGTATTCAGCCTGATGAACGCCACCCTGTGCAAGGCCACCGAATTGGAGTCGACAGGATCCCACGTATCGAACCCCTCTACGTGTCGTTGCTGCTCAACACTGTGAAACCACACTCGAATCGCTTGACAAATATCCTCATTCTCCTGCCCTCTTAGGGCTCTCTGCATTCCCAGGGACGTGGCAAAAGTTGCCTGCTTGAGCACAAAGATGTGCTGGAGGATAGCATGGATAAGAACGTAGTTACCCAGTGACGTGAGTTGTGGAGGCGGGCCCTGGATCCCACGATTGAACAACCGAGAAAACGCGATTGGCAAAGGGACTTCGGTACTGGGAGAGGTTTGTCGCACTTCTTGCCACTGGTTCGCATCTCCTGCTCTCCACAAACGAGTGGCATTGGGCAGATAGAGCTGGACCTCGGATGTAAGGAGTAGGGGGACCGTGTTGTACGCAACACTGCAGAGGTTGAAGAAGCAGTATGCTATCAGCTTCGTTCGAGTCGCTGATTCGGTGCGTACCCAACTCTCCCAGTCGGGCGCTTGGTTGGGCTCGCCGTGGAGACCTTCTTCCCTGACCAAGAGGGCAAGTTGGCTCTGCAGGGACAGTGCCTCGTGGAGGATGGCTTTGGCCCCCCACAGACCTATAGCGAAAAGAAGAAGCATTGCTTGAATGGTCTCGAGGCGTGACTGTGGGGTATTAGGGGAGCTATCAAGGGTCAGCGTTCATAAAATGCAGCAAGCAAGAGCACGTAACTTACTAGGGCTCCCGGTGTGTGTCTTGAGTGACTGGGCGGTCTCGATGAACAGAAGGATACGAGTGTCGAAACCCTGAGCTCGGTGATGGTCTCGTGGAATGGGGGCTATATGCCGCCGAAGTCGGTAGAAGGCCCTGCACTTCGTAACTATTTCGTCGTCGGATCTGTTCCAAGGCAACAGCTTTGGCGGCATACCAGAGCGCATGGCCTCTAGATCGCTCGAAGCGGTACTGGGCACCTACGGAAGTAATGGCTAATAGCAATTCAGGGGAAGCTTCCACGGGTAAAAAGGTCGGCAGATGAATGAAGGGAAGATGGTCATGGAACCCAGTGAAATAGCCCTCCAAGAATCTCTGTAAAGTATGGCGCGAAGGAAACACGAAGTTGCTGGGCAGAACCGAAGAGAATTCATCGAGCTTGGCTTTCATGACGGAATGGTCCTTTGCCGAAATCGTCAAATTTGCTGCTTTCATCGTATCAGCATGCAGTCTGGCACTCCCGTCTGGACCATCTCGAAGCTCCGGCTGTACCGACGGAAACCTCGAAGGAAATGTCGAATTGGGCTTCGAGGGACCAACCCGTAGTCCGCTTTCGGGTCCAGGGCGAGACCACATACTAAACGGTGCTTCCCCGTCGAAGAGTGAAGGGAAGGCGTGCGATGACGCATAGTCACCCATGAAGAGGGGGTCGAATTCGGAGCCCGGGGGTTGCGTACAATATCCTCCATTCATAGCGCCATGTTCCTGCTTTGGATTGTGATTTGCGAAAGACATGGAGTCCTGGTAAGACTTGGCCGGGGGGAGATCGGGTTGCTGTTGCGAGAGTCCTTGCATCATAGTCGGCTGCATGTGCTGTAGGTTGTTGACCTCACCACCGGAGGCAAGGTGCGTGGCCGCATCGGAAAGCAGATCAAGATTGCAAGCCGGACCTCTTGATAGAAGCCTAGAGTCAGATGGAATGGACGAGACCATGGACGGCTGCATACTGCCGTTGGGGAACTGAGATTGCGTTGCTGGCCTATGCTGAGTTTTCATTTGAATATCGGTATGATTCTCTAGTGGAGGTGGAGACACGACGCTTGACGAAGACGTTTTGCGTCGTTTGTTACCATCTTTGTGGTTCGCATTTTTGTTGTTGTTGCTGCTGCTGCTGCTACTGCTGGCGTTATTATTGTTGTTGCTGGCTCCATCGTTGAGATGGCAAAGCTTCTCGTGACGGACGAGAAGATCCCTGATGTCCATGTAAGCAAATGTAGGATAATGCGATGAAAAGACTTGTGACTATCTCAAGAGTCATGAATGATGGTATAAGGTGAACCACGGTAAAGTGTATTCTTTCTTTTGTGTGATGCTAAACAAAGCTATACTTGAGGGCGAGGGGTTGCAGGCCGTGGGGAAAGAGAGCAGAAAAAGTTGGGGATCGTTGAAGGTGGGAGGTGAGAGTGACTGGCTCGGTGGGCTTGTACTGTCAAATGCGTACACAGAAAATGCGGAGATGATGGTTGAGATGAAAGTATCGAAACTTACCGTCGTCCGAATCTCTTTCCACAGCCTTCCCATTCGCACTCAAAAGGTTTCTCTTTGGTGTGGGTTCTCTCGTGTCTCTGAACATGCTCGACGCGCCTTGAACAAATATTAGTATCAAAAGGAAGATGAGAAATGAGATTGAGGATCACTTACCTGAATCGCTTCGCACAGAATTTGCACGGTAAATTCTTGGGCTTCTGAGGGCGGGCCTCTCCGCTCTCGTGCGCATGACTCCCCGGTAGGGAACCAGCGGCCTCAACGGCAACGGATTGTTGGGACATCATGATGCCAGGGTTGTTTGCCTTGTGTACTTGGAGTCCGGATGGGTACTACTTGATTCTGACTGATAGGAACGCAGGTCGCTTTGGAGTCAGGAGAGGGGTAGGGGAAAGTCTAAATGGGAACTGTAGACTTGAGTAGTCAAGATCGGGTGGTGGAAGTTCAAGGGACGCCGTCGATGTGGGTTGGGCAGTGTATGCTTGCGCGGGATGGATGACAGGATGAGACTGCGGAGTAGCACAACAACGCGATTTCGCCAGACACAACCCTTCCTCTTTTCCGGTGAGGGCCAAACAGTGAACGGGTGGACGAAGGTAGAAGCTCGGGCAACGAACTGCCCTGAATAATAGCACCGTATTAGACCTTGCCGATCACCAGTCCTCTTTTTTGGAGAGTGTTTACCCCACGTCCTTGTGAGAATTGCCAGTTTCGGTTGTAGTGTCTTTTTCTCAACCCACTTTCTGTAGCCTATAAATGGCCGTTTACTCACAAGTGCAGCTGGCGTCAGTCAAGAGGTACCAATGGAGAAAGGGCCGAGATGTCGTACGGCTATGGCACGTTGTAGAAGCACCGAGGCCGAAAAGAGGTCGAGCAAGACGAGGGCGGGGAGGAACAGGCAGGATGACCGCCAATGACACAACCTAAAGCAACGAGAGGAGGTCTGTGAGCCCTTGTCTGCGGAGTGGGGTGATGGGCAAGGTCCAGTCTGTATGTTGTGTCAATTCGCAAAGGCAACACGACGGCACTAGCCGACTCTCGCGTATGTGAGGAGTCGTCGTCGAGATGAGGAGAAACGACACTCGAGTGGATGGAGAAGAAGGAGGATAGGGGGTGGAATGATGGAGCGATGCGGAGGAACAGAGGGATGACCCGAGGGATGAAAGCTGACTTGGAGCTCTCGGCGCTTCATCCCGTCGCCCAAAAAGCGGAGAAGTGCCAATCCTGTCGAGTGATGGACGACAGGGGGGAGAAGTGTCAAAGAATGCCGGATGGAAGTACATACAATAGTAATGATAATAATAATCTTGGGTGGTGTCCTGGCTGTAAGAAGGCCTCGAGGACCTTTAGCGCGAATGGACAGAGGGGGCAGAATGCCAATGCTGGGAAGTGAAAATGAGGAGAAAAGAGGGGAATGGGGATACTGAGGAATGAGGACCGTTGTTGTGTTGCCCGACTTGGTTTGCTTTTGCTACCCCGGCAGACCGTCGTATTGCTCGAAATAATTATGTACAAGGCGACTTTGTCCCGCCCTCGTGCGCTTGGAGTCTGGGACGATAAGTATCAATGGACCAAATCACCAGGCCGCGGTGTCGTCGACGTTGTTTGAGCAGAAGCCGAGACTGGGCTCTAGACAGACTGAAACACTTTCTCCTCGTTGGGTGCCCCCCTGAAGTAACGTTGATGTTTGGCAGTCTGTTGGAGGTTATGCACAAGACTGAGGTTGTATAGGCACAGATTCGAGGTAGAAGATGGAGAAGAGGATGTTCAGCCCAGGTGCTATGTTGCCCGGGGAAGATGTTGCCGGGGTGCTGTGCAAAGCGGGCTTGTTCAATTCAAGTGTGGGGAAAGGGGAGGAAGACCGCCCGGGTGTTTGCAGCACTGCAACCGCGAACAAAGACTCATATGAAGTCCAGTCCTCAGCGTCCCGCTCTGATCCGCTGTCTCCAACTGGCTGTGCGGCGGGTGAGTGAAGGGCGAGAGCAGTCGATGTAACTGTATCGTCAAGTCTCAAGTCTCCTCAGCTGGGTGACCGGGAACTGAACGAGGACAGGGGGAAAGCAGACGTGAAAAAGATGGATGGATGGATGGATGGATGCACGGCTTTACAAACACTGGCAGATGAAACCGAGTTGACGAGCACACAGCATCATTCCCATCTGCTAGTGTACGGAGGAAAGAGTGGGCGTGCGAGACTTCCCGATTAGGAGCTTCAAACCAAGAATGAAAGTGGAAGGAAACATGGCAAAGACCCACAGGCAGACGGCTGAAAACAGCAAGAGGTGATTAGGTAAGGTACAGAGAGGTACCTACCTCTAGAGGTACCTATACGATGCCAACCTCAAACCGAAAATCTACCTATGTGCGCCCAGCCATTTGGAGGGCATGCCGCTTGCAACTGACTTCTACTTCTGGCGCTTCAGTTCTTCTCCCTCTCGGAGCTTGCTTGCTGGCCTCCAATAATCCCCCGCACCGTTTCTCCGACGGGTACCTCAGCCCCTGGCTTGCCGGCAAATACAGCCTGATAGTCTTTGTATCGGACTGAGCCAAAGTGGGGGTTCCCGTCATCTATTGCACCGAGAGGAGTGTATGGTGTGGAAATGAAAGATGCTGCCACTAACTTCCACTTTTGGGACATAGGTACAGGTAGTCATTCCATGACGGAATCGAAGCTGCATCTCCGCACGGGAAAATGGGGAAGACGGCCGTTCGACCAAGAGAAGCCTGTGAGAAGGAGGGGTCAACCCCAGAACGCACTGCACTGCAGCCTCCGACACAACTGAAGTGGCACCGGCCCTTCCCTGCCTCCCAACCCTGCAAGCATGCAGACACGGCAGGTGCAAAATGTGGGGGTGGGGGAAGGAACCAATCCCCAAGCCCAGGCCAGGCACAGACGGTCCTGGTAATCAGCCATAAAAGTTGGGGTTCAGAACTCATTCGAACAGGCGTCTGTTGGAGTAATGGAGTATTGGCGGCCGACAAGTGCCTCGGCGAAATCGATAGCACTCGCTCCGCAGCACATCCAGACGACACCACCAACCAACGAGCCTGGTAGAGCGAGTTTGGCTGGGCACGCATTCTCATGAAGTCTGGGTTAGTACCACCGTGCCGCGAAGATGACGGATTCAAACATTTCAATTTTGTCTCCCTGACAACGTTGACATGTTCGCATTTACGACGTTTGGAGTGGAGTGGCCTCTTTCAAGCTCCGAAACGTCACTCCCCACTCGAGACGGGGAGCTCAAGGACACCGCATCCACTCGCATGTGCTTTTCCCCGCTGCCAACGCACGGGCCTTCTGGCATTCTTGACGCCATCAAGGCTTTTGGCCTGAGGGAACATTCATACAAGTATGTTGGAATGCCACGGCACCCAAACTGTAGGCCGAATACCTTACGCGTTTCATCTACATTTGCATTTGATTACTTGAGATCTCTCAAATGGCCAAAGGGTGCTCCTGGTGCTCTGAGAACAACCACCGAATCCATCTCGGTGAACCCCCTCACTTTTGATCAAACTCCAATCGTTCAGTTGCTTTTCTCACCAGCTGAACAAAAAATCCTAGGCCGCATTCACCTCCGAGTCAATCGTGGTCTTGAGCTGCGTCGGGCCGCCAATGTCCAGTCTGATTCCTTTCTGTTGTCAAAGTCGACTAGAGAAACAATTGCACACCAAGACGCATGCAGCTGTTCGAGAAAGCGGGGAAGCCACTAATCCATGTTAAGCTAGCGCGCAAGGAGCCGAGGAAACCGCCTGTCCCATTTTCTTGAATGTGATCGACAGACGGAAGCCCTCAACATGTCGCTGCGCTGGCAATCTCCATTGTTGCTTTTTTTCCTTTTTCTCTTAATTAATTCTGGTGCCTACAACCTTGAACGGCTTCGAGATATAGCCCAAGCCATGGCGGTTCCAAACGTGAAGAGGAGAAAGAGGAAGCATATCCAAGTCCTATCTCGATGCTCTGCGGAAGTGGCGCCCGCGTGTGGAGATGTCGCCAAAATGTCCTATTTGGAGATCTGGGGAAGATGGGCTGTGCTGACCCCAGATTCTCCTGGCCAAATCGATGACAGCGGGGAAGAGGCTAGATCGGTTTTCTAGAGACACTGGACGTGCGGAGAAGCATGGAACTCTGTAACCTCGGAAGACTCGCGGAACCTCCCAACAACTTCCAACTCATCCAATTCTTCCGGTTCGATTTCTCTGACAGCCTGGAACTCGAGGCCATGCATACGACTTGCACGCAGAAAGAGAAATATACCACGCGAACCTCATCAACGACCGTACTTGACTTAAAACTCCTCGCAAGGCCTTTTGTCTCTCCTTTACGTCCTTCATCCTCATCACCCGTCCTCCTCTGACTGGGGTCATCTCCTACTTGCCATATGGGGTTCGGAACATCAAGCGCCGTCTTCTGAGCTTGCCAGTTGCCCTCTTTGATCTGCACCTGACACTACACTGCAGACGTTCGAGACACTCGACTGGCAGCATTGGTAAAAGGGGTGGTGGTAGCATCAACAACCAAACAGCCTGCTACGAGCATTCAATATTACCACCACCACACACCACTCCGACTTGGTCCAACACATCACGTCTGATGTTCCCGTGCCCTCTTTACATCATTACTTGCGCGCGCTGCTTGTCAGAGGTATTGGGTCTCAGACTTGAGGTTACTCACACACACAGCGAATTTCTCATCAACGGCGATTTTCCCCCTCATTTCTATGCCATGTTCAGCTTGGACAACACTCATTCGCGCCGTCACTGTGAACACAATACGAACCAGCACTTCTCTCGGCAGACTTCACCCGGTGTCAGAGAGCATAGGAAGGCGGTTCACATTCATGTTTAACATTCAGCTTGGTTGTCAAGGGCGCTTCCGCTGCTTTGGGTTGATTCGACATAACCCACGTGGCTTGACGTTCAGCCATGTCTCAAGGCCATCTCCGTTCTGACTCCCGTCGATAAACCAAAAGCCATCTAGAACTGTACAATCTTTTCAGAGACACAGTCGATTTGAGACTCATCGTCGGTTATGCAACATCATCTACCGTGTACGAAGGATTAGCAAAAAGCGTTACACAACAGGCAGTTGGCATATCAAGGCCTCGATGATATGTAAGTAAACATTTCGCACGTGAACTTCCCAGTACAGTCAAGATCTGGAAAGAGTGCCAGAAAGAGCATTTTGAACTTTGACAGGTGATCCACCGGCGTTGGAAACCACACTCTCAC